AGATGCTTTTTGCACTGAGCCGTGATTCAAGATGTTTGGTGGGCAGAGTAGTGACCAGAGCAAAGCATTGGTCCATTCGGCGTTGCCTGCGGCTACATACCCCCAGTTTCCAGTTTCCGTTTCCCTTCCCATGTGATTCTCCATCATTGGCATTATATATCAATAAACCATATAGCCTTCGCCTACACTCTGCAATGCGCTTGCTGGCCCATCCACGAAGCCATTGTGCGGGCATAGCTTTGTATAATGGTAGTAAACATGACGGGAATCATGGTACTAGTAGTGATCATAGGTAATGATGCTGACAGCAATGCTGCAAGCAACAAAATCGGGCACAGTCGTCACTTGACATCACCACAGCCTGTGCATTCGGATGCGAAGTTTAATGTTCACCTCATGATAAGAAAGCCCCCCTTCCCCCACACGGCCCCCGAGGATGTCTGCGCGAGTCTCCGTAATTGAGCGTATCCAGATCCATGAGCTGCAGCTCCAGTCGTTGTATCCAATAGTAGTACTAGCCGGTGGTACACATCGCTCGTCCGGCGCTTCCAATCTTTTGCGCTTTGGCAGATTGGATTTTGCAACTACAGGCGGGGGGGGGGTTTGTAATTACGTTCTGTGATCTGTTTTTGTTTGCAATTACGTGAGGTTTATCGATATAAGGTCAACAGTACGAGGAAGGTTTGAAGTAATGTGTGAACTGTTGGGCTTCTGCAGCAAATTGCTTTCCTGGCATTGCAAAGTTTGTGTGGGGATCACAGCAACCAAAATATTTTCAAACCCTCAAGGACATTCTGCAGCTCTTTGGGAGAGGGCGGAATTTAGTCTGTTCCATGGCCTCATCATGAATGTTGGTGGGTCATTGGAATTCTTGGAATTCGAGAAAGCACGGGCATGGAAGATTCCGCAGCCCCTGAAGCCGAACAACATGCAGCAAGATTCGGATATCTTGCGATTTCGAAACAGGGCACATGCACGAGAGTGCGAGAGCGCTTTGACCCATGAACGGAGTTCGTCTCTACCGGACCCGCCCATTTCACCGAATAGTCCATTTTGCTGCGGATGGCGCATTCGGGCTGCATCGTGGAGGACCACTAAAATGAACAATCGAGGATGTTTGGCGCACTAGCGTGAAACACAAGAGGATCAATGACCACTCGTTCTGTCTGCTGGGAGTGCACATACAAGCAAGGCTGCGCAACAGCGGCGCTAAGTTTAGGGGATGTGGCATCGTCGCCATGTGCCATCTTCCGTAACAGCCACGAAGCGTAGCCCCGAAAGGCTTTGCATGAGAAGTGCTAGAACTTGATGTGAAAGACGCACGACTCGAAGCATCTTCAACCATTTAGCGTGGCCAGCTCTTGGCCCTCATGTTTACTAACGCCTCACGCCTCGTTACACGTATTCAACAATGTAATGCCTTGATTCCAAATTTCTCGCCAACACTGGCTCATGGGATTTCTTGTACAGCCAGAACGGGAGGCCTTACACATGCACCGTAAGGCAAGATGGCAAAGAGAGAAGGGGATGGTCATGGTGAGGGAGGTACGCAGACCACAGCACTCTCATGGCCATCAACACGCAGTTATTTGACCTTGGGCTTGAGCCGCTCCGAGTAGCAAGCGTTGCTTTTTGAATGCAAGCCGATGCTGACCAGACAGCATAATGCCTACGCCTTCTGCCACGTCACCCAAAAGGTCTACAGACTCATGGCCTCGAGGTGCTATCCTTCGTGGGCAGTCTTATCTACCATGCCTGGGGCCGAAGGCTTGCAGAAGTGATCCGATGCGATTCCAATATGGTGGCAGGACACGCGCCAAGCTTTTTGTAGCAATGAACAGGACTCGGGGCTGTATATGCCAGAGCGCTATGTCCTGGCGCACGGCCAAGTGCAAAATGTGCGGTTCTTATTTGGGGGAATGACAACTAAAACGATGAGCTCCAAAACTTGCAAAAAACCATGAGAGGAAAATAAAATGATGATAACCTTTCGGGTAAAGCAATAAAAGGAATGGGGTTTTCATACAGTCCCATTTGTCGCACCCATCGCTGCAACTAGCTGCTAGCTATGTGCGCGCAGGATATAGGTTGGTTGTCTACTCACAGAAAAAAATTTCGAAGCGGCGTGCATGTCGTGGGCGCGCCTGACCTGTTTGATGGCTGTTTTCGGACCACCTTCCCAGCAGATGGACTCTAAAACTCGCCCCTTCGAACCTGTTATCAACAAGAGCTGTCGGCAAGACCACATGGATGGCACGACATTGGCTTCGGACAGGCCCAGCATATGGGCGCCTCGAGGGTAAACCCCGCATCACGGGCGACTCCTGCTCACAGACGGTTCTCAGCTGATCCTGGAGATGGGAGTTGCAAGAAAGTCTGGAGCCGTCTCTGCCAAAGTCTTCCAGGAGGGCTACAGGGAGTTTGATCTGCGACAGCCAGTTCCGTCGAGCAACACCGACCGCAAAGGCAATTCGCGAACTTGAGTCACTTCAATGGACTGCTTTTGTGCCCACGTTGCGGAAGAGTGTCTGAAGCAGGCAGATGGCGCTTGAAACGACAGTCGGATCATCAAGGCCAGAGAACTTTTGAAAGGACAGGCCCAACCTTCAAGACCTCCCGGCACTGACAAGGCCAAGGCGTGGATGGAGTGCGCAAACACTTCAGGTGTGGGAGAATGAAATCTGCGATACTAAGGTCAGCTTGATGCACGGGCAACAGCATCTTGTCGCCAGCTGGGGCTAGAAAGTCAACAGCTCGACCTGCATCACATCTTTGGAAATTGACAAAATGCAAGACCTTCGCGGCGTTAGATTCTAGCTGTTTAAATGCTAATACTAGCTGATTTCCTGCGCGGAATACAGGGCAGCTTGGCCAAGCATTTCGCAAGTTTTCAGGCCATGGTCCCACCAGCTCTGTTTCCCCCATGCGATGGTGGCCCTTGAACCTTGTCGATATTCCAACCCGCAATGGAGTGTCGCGCAGACCGCAGCGTTTCGATTGGGTCCATGTCTTCGTGTGCCACGAAAGGCGAGCAGCCGCAGGGTAACTCCAAGAAGGGGCGCGGCAAGGCAAAGGAGAAGGCAGCCCAGGTGGGGACCTCGAGCTGACTGGGTGGCAAAGTATATTGTTGTGCTTTAGGCTTGAGGCTTTAGCAGCATGTAGGGCAAAGTCTTTTGATGTGGTCACTTCTGCTATGACAGCACTCGGTGAGCCATCGCCTTTGATCAACCAGGAAGCTGACGCGAATGGTTGGGTTTGGCGGCGAGCTCAGTCAAGCCCAGGTCATACTACGTCTCAGCCTGTGAAGCCAAGGTCAGCAGAACATGGCTGGAGCAACGACAAGGCCACTTTTTGCCACCACTTCTTGCCACGACTAGTAACTAGCTCCGAAAGCACTCAGATTTTTCGTGCGTTTCAGTGTTCATTCTCAGTTCTCATCCTCAGAACTCTGCACCCACCTCGGTCGCTTGCCAGTGGTGGGATTGGTCATGGAACGGCTGGTCGGAGAATGGCGACGGCTGGGAGAACGGCAAGCAAGCAGGCCATGCCTTCCAAACAGGAGACATGACCACATGACATCACATGACCAGTCGTGTTGAGGTTTGGAGCATTTTGCAGTCCGTTTTCCAGTTCGCACATGCGAGGTGACTGGTGTGGAGACGCAGCAGGCAATGCTCCTCACAAGGAGAACTGTGGTGACCTCCAATGCTTGAACAAGCCGACACCTGACCCGGGAGCAAGTAACGACATCACTTGAAAGCCTTTCAAAACTATGGGGCCTCCTTGGCTTGGATCCCACACTTTGGTGTTGTGCCCCAGGTCTGGGAAGTACCCGAAGTACTGTACCCTCCTCAAGCCTGAAGCTTATCAGGAGAAGGGCGAGAAGGTAACCGCTGTCCAGGCCAGCACAGTTGTCTGGGCATCCTTGAAGAGATGAAGCAGCTGGTTAGAGAGCTTATGATCATCATTCTAGAAGAGTTTTTTCGCACAGCCTTGAAAGTCAAGGGTGTAACTCACAACAGGCGAGGGCCTGGATGCCTAGTGCTCCTCGAATCCGGCCTTGCAGCCCACTATTTGGGAGCTTGTCATCATTAAGTCAGTAAGTTCACCTATTTACCGCGCAAGTAATAACCCAGGGCGCCCACAAGGTTGCGAATGCCCCTTGCGGCGAGTTGCCTCAAAAAGAATAGCAAATGCCCGTAGGGTTGAGCTTGATTGCAACATGGGGAGGCCAACGGCAATTTCAGCCAAATCCTACACAGACTTCACATGGAAATTCTCCTGGCCAAAATCCATCGGTCGAAGTCTCACAACCCCGGAAACTCCTAAGCTCCAAAACCTGAAGCCTCAGAATTCCCCAATTCCTGTATTCCCCATAATCCCAGCAATCCCTATAGATTCCGCATGGCGTGCTAAGTGCTCTAATGAAAGCTGACACTTGCAAGGCGGCCTTCGGCAGCCTGAACTGGGGCCCACCTTTTCAGGACTCCGCCAGTCGGGTGAATTTTCAGATCAGCTTTCAAGCTCTACAAAGTGAATCCTCAGATTTATCGACCTTTGCATTTATCGACCTTTGCTTTTCGGGAGTAGGCAATGGGACTGCAATTTTGAGAAGGACACAGACATGAACCTTTACAAGTTGGGGGCCTCTATTCCGACGCAACTCCGGCAGCTTATTGCTGAGACGTGCGCCAGCATCATGAGAATCAGCTAGCACAGTATAGCTGGTCCCTCTTTGACGGAGATCTCCGAGCCAACTCCAGCGCTGTCTCTTCATGTCAAAAGGTATGTCATAGCACGGGATGTGCAACAGTTCTGCAGCCCCCACAAGGAAGTCTAAACATCTCTTCTTTTTCTGTTGTCTCTGACTGGCCTGACGCGCCTGACCGGCCTGACATCGCAGGATGCCGACCTTTTCCCTGAGGCCTGGCCGGCAGTCCTCCTTATGCTGTGGATCAGCACTCTTGCCAGTGACAGAAGACGCGCATGGAATCCTGGAGGAGCCCATTCGCCGCGTCTTGGATGAAGGCATTGTATGGGAGGCACTCGCACCAACCACGCAACTGAACAGAACATGACACGTCTTCTTACGGGGGGGAGTTTGCACGTGGAGTTCATCTGGATAGGAGGCCAACCCACCACGAATTGGTTTGAATGAGAGGGTGGGCTACGGCTTGCAGTCCGCCTTTGGGGTAGGACTGGATTGAACTTCAAACCGCTACGCAGTGCAATCACAATAAGGGGATCTAACGTGGAGCCCAATCCAATGGCAAATCATTGTCACTGCGCAATGCTGTCCTTCTACCATTGTCAGTATGAGCAGTTTCCTTGGTCATCATAAAGATTCTCGCGACGCTTCATGGAGAGTATGCTCTGTGTTCCTGTGACCAGATCTTGTTGATTTGAGGCGAGGAATACAGCGTACATCAATAGAGCACACAGCACAAATGTCGAGTCGTTCTTTCTGACTAGAATATGAATACTATCCTGAAATGATATTTCTCTACAGCTGTCGATTATCAAATAAGTCCGTAGATATGTTGAACTAACAGCAGCCTTGCCATCTGGAGCCTGCAGTTGTTTAGAATAAGCACCTTCCTCCAGCAAGAAACACTCCCATCGCTCCAAATACATTCTCATCATATCTTGAAACATTTGAGCAAGAGAGAATATGGATGGTCAATGAGGTCAATTTTCAGGGGAGGTGATTGATTCACTGAACATCGCAGGAGCGCTGGATCTCGCCTTTGGCAGTGCGCTTCTCCCAGGGAAAGATCCACCCCTTCTTCCACGAGCGCGGCCCCATCTCAGAGGCTTGAGCTTCGGTTCCAGCCCCCAGAATCCTAGATTTCAGGGTTACTGTAGAGGTTTAAGTTTGGCCTCCAGCCTAGGGAACTGTTGACTCGGGGCGGGTGCCAGGTCATGCTGCAGATAAAGTTGAAAGCCGAGGAGGGCAAAAGGAGCAAGCGAGGGACCAAGAATTAGCAAGCTGCGGCGTTGCTTGGCAGTCTTCAAACCTGCAGACATGCTAAGTTCATGTCATAGTACCATGGGACTTATACTTGCCATCGTGCCTGCTATAAGGGCGTATGATCACTCCTACTTATCGCACTAAAAAGACTTTCAGCCAGACTTGCAGTTTGTTCGATCGCTCTTGGACTTCTTGTGACTCCAATTGCCAAGTTTCAGCTGGCTCGGTATCCCTTGAGGCGGATTGAGCCTCCTTTTCCTCCAGTCCGGCTTCTACACCTCAAGGAGCAGGCACAAGGGAGAATTCTGCACCAGGGATAGCTACAGTCACCTCACGTAGGAGCGCGATGGGGCAGTTTTGTGACCAGTGTGGATGGGTGCTGATTGTCAGCGGAGGTTGCCATTCTTGGCAGTTCTAAAAACTAGCAACCGCTATTTATGATGCTACGAGAAGTGGAAGGTGGCTACGACGATCATGATTACTGTCCTTGTTCTATAACTCTTATCAGAACAACGGTGGTGATCGGATTGATCATCTAATTTGCTTCTGCCGTGGTGATAGGGGCAATTTGGAGCAGTGCTTTGCAGGGCGTCCTCGTCACCCTGGACAATCGAAGGCTGTACGCGCTCCAGCGGTTCGCGCTGCAGGCCCCTTTAGCTTGGCTTGGCTGTCCTTCAGAGGCTGTCAAAGTCAAAGGAAGTAGCATATTTCAAAAAAAAAGAAGCTCCAAAGCCACTGCTTTTGGACTTTCAGCCAACCTGGGCCTCAGCTCTCAGCTCTTGCTGAGGAGTGGCCCACACCCTGCCTTGTGCGTGCACTTTGCGTGGACGAGCTCACGCCAACAAGGCAATGCAGATGTTTTCTGGCCACAGTCCATCCTGTGAGCATGGGTTGGAGCAGGTGTGCAGCTTCGTAAGGAACTTGCTGTCCGCAAAACTGCTCATGAGCTCCGACAACAGGCTGATGCATTCTGGCTCCGTAGCTTTCAGGTGCATGATGACAGCACAAGGCTGATCCATTCTTGTAAGGGATCTTGTAAGTGGTCGGAGTGCTTTGGCTCCACTCTCAACCTTTGTCCTTCTGACGCTTTGCAGTCTTCTGGGCGCATCGAAAAACTTGTACACATTGACAGGAAAGCCCATCTCAAATTTTTGCCATCCTTTTGAGCTGAGCTGCAGCACTTGTAGAAGTTCTATCGGAGTCCTATGCCATGGCTCTCATATCTCCCAACATCGACCCCGGATCGCCCTCCGAAAGTCGCAACTGTGAGCTGGATGAGAGATTCCTGGACGACAGCTGCGAGGGCTGTGATGGCAACAACAGGACCCTGCAGCCAAGTCTTCCCGAGGTACAGACCCAAAACAATTAGATCTTTCTTGAACATCACTTAGACACATGTAACTCTAACTCCCAGTCTCCGCAAGTTCTCCGCAGATTTTCAGGACCTGGCCACGTGCTCTACGGGAGCTTCGTCAGATCTTCAAGCTGGGATTACCCTTGGCCCTGTCGCTCGCCGAATTTAGGGGTTAGCTTTGTTGACTATACTTGGTATCAACTTGAGTCAGTGTGCATCTCAAGGTAGTGTTTGGGGGTTCACTCTTCAGGGCTTTGGGGCTTCAGGCACACGGCATGGGATCGGCAGATACGGAAGGGAAGATGGTACTCAAATCAGGAGCCAGCCTGAATGCATACTCCGCTCATTGCTTGATTTCCACCCCAACCCTGTCAAGCCTGAACCCCAAACCCTAATTATAACTCCTGAGCTCATCCCTCAACTCTGAACCGCTAAACCTTGCTAATTGTGCAGGTCTGGAGCAAGTGGCATCGTCAACAACCTGCTGGTCGGCATCATGCTTCTCTACTTGACGGAAGTGAGGGCGTGACTGTTTGTTGATGTCCTTTTTCAAGGAAGCCCAGTGTCTCAGAAGAGATCAGAAGAGTATCTGGGAACAGCGTGGAAGCTCTGAGAGACGTTAAATCCAAGAATTCTTGTCTTGCCAAAGTTTGTGCTCGAATTTCTTGTTTTTCAACGATGCTTTTGCTTCAATTCCCGGAAATCTATGTTCCTATACTGCTCCAAGAGCAACCTCTTGAACTTTCACGTTGCGATAGCATGTAAGCTGTCCCGTATCGGCTAGCCCTACTGGTTTCCAACATGTGTTGCCTTGTTCCCGATGCGCCTTCTCTGCTTCAGCTGTTTTCCATGTGTTGTTGATGGCAACTCTAAGATTGATTAAGCTTGGAGGCTCAGAGTGGTCGCATAGTCGGATACCCTTTACACTACTTTACACCAGTGAAGCATCCAGTTCCTGTTGGAAAACTTGTAAAGGCATTCTGCAGCTTGTGCACTCACCTTCAGCGATTCCCGGCAATAACATTTTGCCTTCCAGGCACTCAAACAAGGGGCGCCCCTTTCGTGCTACCTTAGGTAGTGTTGAGCCATCGGATAGAGCAGACGTGCTCTTACAGACGGAAAAGGTTAGTGCGTGTGCGCACTTAGCAGCTGCGTGGTGAACATTTCTGTGAGCCCAACTTCGCAAGCTACTGTGCAGCATCCGCTGCATTGGTAGCGGAGCATCAAGCTCCAGGTGCCTACTTCCTGAGGAATCCGGCGCCACCACTCGCTGCCGAAAGAGCCGATTGGACATCCTCCTGGACCTGACCTTCTACCCTCCACGGCTCGCCTGCAGACTTTGCAGTTTTCTCCGAATTTGGCTTGACTTTTGGCTCTCTCTAACGAGATGGCAGACGGCAGGGAACATTTATCAGTTCCTTCCTGGGATGGTTCCGCCAGATCGTGGCGGCGCTACACACGAGAAGTTGCATGGTTCGTTCAATCGACCCCGGTGCACAAGAGGAGGTACTGCGCCTCTCGGCTGTTGAGCAAGCTGAGTGGCCCTGCGAGATTGTTGGCTATGAGTTGGTCTAAGATGGCCTTCGATTCTGTGGATGGCACTAAGCTCTTCTTGCAACGGCTGGCTTCGAGTCCTCTGGTTCGTCGGAGTCTTCCGAACGCAGCGGCGATATGTCAGCAGTACTTCTCCTTTCGAAGGAACACGAGCGAGTCGATTGGCAACTTTCTGGTACGAGAGACTCTCGTTCACGAGGAGTTCGTGGAGGCCCTGATCCGTCTCCATGAGGAGAAGCTCGGCATATCTCAGGAAGCACGAGACTTTGGACTTCCTACCGAGTCCGAATCTGAGTGGGATGATGGCTGGCAGAGTTGGTGGCGCGGCGATGATGGTTGGTACGACGACGAGTACCAGGGCCCGGACACTCATGAACACGGACCTCCCGGCGATTCTCCGCACGAAGAACGAGATCCCGGAGCTCCGCAACCTGATGCGGGAGTTCCTCCTGGTGATGTTCGACCGCCTCAGGGAGCCACGGGTTCCTCCCCAAGTCACCGGCCAGGTGACAACCGATCACAGGATGGCCTTCGAGATGACCGGCCACGAATCCTTGAAGCTGTTCAGGAAGCTTCCTTGGATGAGATGACTCTTGCCGACTCCTTCATCCTTGATGTTCTTCGCGGATGGCGTCTTCTACAGGCGGCAGGCTTGAACGCGGAAGAAAAGAGGGACACCCTCAGTACTACCAAGAACAGCTTGGATTACTCCGTGATCTCCTCCGCTCTGCAGAGTCTATGGGATGATCAGCTCCTTGGACATCGAGGCTCCTCGAGCAGCGGCGGCCACTACCAGGCACATCTCCTTCAGCCTGTTTCCGAGGACCACCTGTACTACCACGAGAGCGACGATTGGACCTGGCAGGATGATAGCTGGTGGTACGAGGACCACTACCACGACATTGAGGACACCGACTCCTGGTGGTGGTGGAATGAAGACTGGGATGCTGACAGCTTCCCCGTCACGCAACAAGATCCAGAAGATCCCGGCGCAGCCGCCAAGCTTCAGGAAGCACAACAAGCAGAACGTGTGGCCGAATCTCTTGCAGCAGAAGCCCATCGCACATGGACAGAGGCTCAGCGTGCTACTCAAGCACTTCGCAAGGATCGTGGCTTTGGTGCTGTTCTACAACCTGGTGGCGGCGCCAAGTGCTTCAATTGCGGTGGCAATCACTTTGCGCGTGACTGCCCTGATCGTAGACATCCTAGTTTTGGCGGCAAGTCAAAAGGCAAGGGCAAGTTCCGATCCTACCTTGCTGATCAGGACGACTACTACATGAACTACAACGCCAAGGGCAAGTCCAAAGGAAAGTCTAAAAAGGGCATGTTCCTGGATGCTCAAGCTGCTTGGAAGGGCAAGGGCAAGGGCAAGTTAAAGGGCAAGGATAGTCACCGATCCGTCAATGCCTACGCCACGGACCTCGTTGGCAATAACATCTTCATTGGTGGCTTGGAGGTCTCGGAGGTGATGGGGCTTTCTTCGTCCTTTGACAAGGAAGGATCTGCGTCAGTGAGTGGCATGTTAGACTCAGGTGCCACAGCCTCAGCTGTTGTGAAAGGCTTGATAGATGCTGTCTTGTCTCGTGATCCTGGAGCCCGCATCGATATCCAGACATATGCCCGTCCGTACTTTCGGTTTGGTAATGGCAAGTGGGGAAGATCGTTGGGACGAACTTGCGTAACCAGTAGTGTTTCAGGAAGTCCCCGACAGTTTTCTCTGTACACGTTGCCGAACCCCACAGAGTACTACAGCAGCAACTTCGGTAAAGCGTCCTTGGTCCCAATTCTCATCGGCGTGGATTTCCTGGGCGACATGGGAATTGGCATGGTGATAGACTTTGCTACAGGTCTTGCTCTCAACTCAAAAGATCCTCATCCAGAGATTTACAGACTTGACACAAACAAGAAGGGTCACTTCGTCCTTGACATTGTGCAGTACCTAACTAATGGTCAATACAGCGCGTCAGGGCAAGCGAAAGTGGTAGTCAGTCATACTTCACCAACAACTGCTTCCACTGGTGAACAGCAGGTCTTGGAGCTTAAGACGGCATGGTTTGACATGACAGCTTGTGATGCCGATCTTGATGAACGTCAGTTGCAGGAGTCACGTGCTAGGATTTGGCAAGTATATCAAGCCTCCCGGACGATGAGTCTATCTGCGAATCTTTCAGCTCAGATGACTAGTGCAGTCAATTCTGTAGTGACCCCGACAACTTCCTCTTCTCGATCCCTCGGAGATGTCGCGATCCCAGCAGACGCCCGAGCAGGAGGAGATCCTCCGCAACATCCGGTCTCAAACGAGACCACGTCCCAAGGCGGCACCCTTGGACATTCCTCGACGAGTTGCTGCGGACCGACGCGACCCAAGGATGAGCAGCTCGCAGTGGCCATGTTACGGCCACCATGCCCCGGGACGGCCCCAAGGGAATCAGCACGGGGCCTGGCGAGTCTGTCTGACATGCGGGGTTCGCTTGGAGTATGTCCCGCGGAAGGGCAGCGCAGCGGCTCATACCAAGTGCGAGAACCCCGAGATGATCCGGCGCATGCTGGAGCAGCTGCGCCCAATGATGGGGCAAGTGCGCCCAACTCATCGTATTGTGCTGGCCATGCAGCGGAAAGTGGAAGCCGACGAGAGCCTTCAGCATCTGATCCAGGCCCAGACCTGCTCTCACGACCACGACCTCTACCACGAGAACAACCCCGGCTCCGGCAACACCGTCCACAACGACGCCTGCGTATCAGACGGCGCCCGGAACTCGGACACAAGCTGGACAAATGCTCCTCTGGTCGACGACGAGGAGGAGCTGGTGGCGGCGTACCGCGAGTTCGACAACCAAGGTCAGCAGTGAGAGCGGCATCCGTCTCCCAGACTCCGATTGCGCTTCCTCTCTTCATGGGTAAGAAGGTGATGGCCTTCGCGACCTTGATGCTCACCATG